AACATCCGTGTCTGCCCCGTCTGTGCCCACTTCCCACACCCCCACATCTGTGTCCTCCAACATCCGTGTCTGCCCTGTCCGATTCATCCCAGGATTTCTGCTGTTGGTGTGTATGTATGCTTTGTGTCCTCTTTCTGCCATTGAAATGTCCGGTGTGGGAACTACATGAGGGTGGGGCGTCTGACCTCCTGTGATACCATGGGGAGAATCACAGGGGATCGCTGTGAGGAGGGTGGGTCACACACAGCTCCACCCACCAGCATTAGGACCAGCGCTCCCTCCCACGGCCCTTTCCCTCCCCTCCTGTGGCCATACAGAACTCACAGACAGTACTCACAATTATGGGGTGTATCAGGGAAGGGAACAGGTTATCCTGATGGCACAGTGGTTAAAGCACTCACCCACTAACCAGAAGATCAACAGTTCAAACCCACCAGCCGCTCCACAGGAGAAAGATGAGGCTGTCTGCTCCCGTTACAGCCTTGGAACCTGTGGAGCCGTTTTACCCTGTCCTGAGCTCTGGTAGCATAGTGGTTACGAATCGGGCTGGGAACCACAAGGTCAGCAGTTCAAGCTCACCAGCCAGTCCTCAGAAACCCTACACAGGGTCCTGATAAGTCAGAACCAACTCGATGGTACTTAACAATGACAAACATAGGGTCTCTGTGAGTTGGAATCGACTGGACCTCCGTGGGTTGGGTTTTCAGACAGGCTCAGAGTCAGATGTTCAGTCAGGACAGCCTCTTCTCGGCTGTGTCCACAGGCAGGTCTCTCCCAGCTCCCATTGCCTCGGCTCAGCCTCTGCCCTGCTCGGGCCAAGGTTACAAAGCTCTGAAGCTTCCCCAGTAAGTGCCCAGAGGTACCAGAAGGTGCTCCGGTTTCTGCTGTGTGGGCCGGGACGTCCTTGGTCCCTGGTTCTGTGGAATTTACCACCCTGTGTCTGGGGTTCTGCTCTACGCCTCTCTGTCTTGGGTCTCAGAGCTGTTTCTCAGTCTCTTGGGTCCAGGAGGTTCCCAGTCCAGATACCCAGGTCCAAAGGATGCACACTGCTCCCACCTCACCTTAGCAGTGATAAGGTCCCCTGGAATGGCTCATTTATAACCCAGCAGATGGTAAAACTGACCAATTCTCCTGTGAGGGTTCCAAACGCCTTATTTGCATGGTCCACCCCAGGGGTGCCACATACTTTATTTACATTATTAGTAAGTCATCCAGTCCCCTTGATAGGCTGCAAGCACCTCATTTGCATAGCCCCGCCTAGTCATTTGGTGGGCGTTACAAGACCATGGTGAGAAAGGCCGTCCATAAGTGATCCGTGGAACTGCACAGGGGAAAATCCGTAGGGTGGCACCATGGAGCCCGTCTGGGGGTGGCAGGGACGCCCCCTGCCAGCATTAGGACTGAGAGCACAGATTAGGGTGAGACAGAGCTGGCCCTCAGGGAGGGAGCCAGACACATAATTACTGTCACACCTTAGAATTCATAGAATAACTTTCTAATTCTTATACGTTATAATTCCTGTCATACCTTAAGATTCTTGTCATATCATAATTCTTATGTTGATGCTGTTGTGTTATGTATGCTGTTGAGTTTGTTCCGACTCATAGTGGTCCTATATAGGGTGTGTGAGAGTGATTGGTGGGTTTGAACCACAGCCTTGTGGTTACCAATCCAATGCTTATCCTTTATAATATCTTATAACTGTTAACCATGCTTTATAATTCTTGTTATACCTTATAATTCTTGTAAAGCTTGTTGTTATTGTTGTTGTTAGGTGCCATCGAGTCAGTACTGACTCATAGCGACCTTATGCACAGTAGAACGAAACACTGCCCCATCCTGGGCTAACCTATCGTTGCCACGATTCAGCCCACTTGACCAATCCATCTCGCTGGGGGTCTTCCTCTTTTCCTCTGTCCCACCACCTTACAAAACATGGTATCTTTCTCCAGCAACTGGTCTCTCCTGACAATATGTCCGAAGTATGAGAGACAAAGTTTGGCCATCCTGGCCTCCAAGGAGCACTCTGGCTGCACTTCTTCCAACACAAATATATTGATTGGTTCTTTTGGCAGCCCATGGCACTTTCTCCTCCAACACCATAACCAAAATGCATCAATTCTTCTAC